TGCGGTTACTCGCTCTACGACGACAGGCTTCGCTCTGGCCACAGTCAAGGCCAACGCAGCTAATGGGAATGGTGTTGTTATCTCTGTGGCTCTCATTTTCAGGCTCTCGGTAGAAACTGAAAACGATTATGTGCTTTGCGTTGGACGATACGTACGGTTGGTTTAGTCACCAACTAGAAGACAAATATGTGAGGCGACGACATCAGCGGTCGAACATGTTCGTAATCGAACAACTACAAACGACAAGCAAACCCTAAGGCCAGTCTAAGTGTCAGATAAGTGGTTTTTCCAGCGATGACGCACATTTGCAGCCGAATATCCGTATACAAAAGCGAGCAAATATGCCGTTCCAGCCTTGGCGTGACGAAATGATGTGTTATTATCGAACTGATATTCACGTTTCACATTTCGACATACACCGGACGGACATCTGAACAGGTAACCTGCGCTTTACCCAGTTGGTAGCCGGGCGTTTGTCACTTTTTAGATACGCGAAACATTCTGCATGATAAATACCTTTCGGAATACTAACAGGAAAAGTGCGTCTTCATAATAAACGTGTGTGCGCTCCCCTTCACATGTGTGGTTGGGTACTAGCGTGACTAAGAAAATACGGATGCAAAAGCTCCAAACATATCAGATGTCGATCTATGCTTGTCGGGGCGTGATGGCTGAGTGGTTAGTGCATTTGGCTCCTATGAGAAAGTTCAGTGTTGGAACCCCGGCTGTGCCGTGTCCGCTGAGGGCCAACATATCTCTTACAGTCGGTGGTCCATAAAACGGTGCGCGAAGACGCTCGCCGGCTTTCCGGAGTTGGACAGTTTCATCGCAGTTAACAATAATAGCTGCGTTGTCCGATGACTTTTCCTGCCAGTGCAAGGTAATGTTACGTGCCGGCGGCGCAGTGTGCCTCATAGCCCTCGGTTTTTATCGGTGGACATCACATTGTATGCATTGTATGAATCGCTCGAGTCGCATACACCAGCTATTTTTCGACTTTCCCACCGCCTTAAGATACTCAAAAACGTTCAGCACAAGATTTCACTGTTTTAATGTTAGCGACTCAAAAACATTTTACGTATTCCAAGGAGTTGGCCTGATTCCTGTTGCTACAGGAAAGTATATCGCGATACAAATCCACGAACTTCAATAGCTTTGCCGCTAGCTACCACCGCTACGATGTCAATATCCGCATCATGACATGTCACTTCAGTGTCAGGACGACTTAAACATCGAGCACAAGTTATTGCGTTTACGTTTAATCTTTTATTGCGTGGTCCAATTCCCCGCCGTGCCCGCCCGCCAGGGTGAGACGAAGGCCCCAACATACATTCTCACTAGCGCTGTGAAGTCTCAATGATGTGCAACCGTCCGTTGGAGGGTTGCTGACCTAACACATGCAACTTCCTGCTGTTTTCGTTTCACTCAAGTTGACGTACGTAAGTTGATCGATCTGCGGAAAAGCTGAACGTGCACCATGTGCATACTTACCTACCTATGTCTGGCTCTCCTGCGATGCGCAGAGAATGAAAGCTTCCTGATTATACAATAATGACTGGAGGCCAGTTTTATCAAATAGAAAAACACCGTCAGCGGCGGTAATTTTTTCAGATTTTCCTCCTCCGAGTTTTATAAAGCTCGGAGCAAAAAAAATCATCCACAAAAATAATCCGCTGTCGGGAGCGATTTTACTCCGCCGAGGTTTATAAATAAAACGCGCGGCGAGAAGCGTAGAAGAAAATGCGCAGCGATTGTCGAGCAAACGCTGAAAAAAATCAACCCCATCATTGCGTTTTTCATATCGCATTAGATCGTGGGTGACGCTGGTCTTCAGTGATATGTGCATTGATTGGCTGCTGATGGGTCGTGGTTCGGTGAACCGTGCGTATTGTGTTATTTAGCTGTCATCTGGGTTGTTTGCTGAAGTTTAATTCAGAATTTCTGCTTGCTGTTTTCACTGTTATACCTTTATTGTCCACCTTAGTGTGCATACTTTGAAGTTCAGCGACTTCCACGCAGCTTGGAAGGATGTCCTTTCAAACTAAGGTTGACCATGAAAGGGTGCGCCGCCGGCGGGTTGTCAGGCCCCGTGTGAACCTGGAGTGGCAAGTTGGAGAAGACATCAGGTAAGATCTCAAATGATAGTGGAAAACCCATATGCACTTTTGTGTTTTGAGCAGTGAGCTAGAATCGCTTTTGGACTAGGGTGGGAGTGAAAAATTCTACCCCGAAAGGCCATGCAGGAGTGAACAATTCAATTCGCAAAATATGGAGCTTATGGGCCAGTGTGAGACGCCTCAGCAGAGGCGCACATTTCAATTTGACTTGGACGTGATATCATTAACCTGACAAAACTGTTTTATTTTTTGGCCTGTTAGGTCATAAAATGAAACAGAATGCATTGAAGCATAGTAATTGCACAGCAGTGTGATGAGCTTAAAAAACTACATAACACCAATAATTTGATGCTGCGCTTTGCACTTCTCTTCCCCAGACTTTTTAACATAAAACAAAGCAAAGGAATTTAACAACAACATAAGTTTTTGCGTGACTTTCCTTATCGCTATTGGAGCATCAATGAATGATACTGAGGCCCCAATGCATAATATTATGATAACATTGAGGATTGGTTGCCAGGACGAGATTCCGGATTTCTGCAACTGACAGCAGACAGCACTGAGGGGGCAATCAGTGCTCATCTGAGGCACCGTTGCACCGTTCTGCCCGCAACATGGCGATGACCCCGCGGGAGCAGTTACTTGTTACGTTGAGGTTCGAATCATACGTCGTGCTACGAAGTTAACTTTTGTGTACACTGACGCGTACGCTTTTGTTTGTTTGTTTTTCCGTCCCTAAAGCTCATTTGTTTAAAGCGCCTGTCTCCCGATCCACCCAGCCACCCACACGTAGCAGCGGTCGCGCTAAAGATCAGGTTACGTTACAGGGTATGTCGGACCGTGCTGAGCATCACGTAACGTCAAACTCCGATCACCAGAAACCGCCAGTGATCTGGAATTTCACGTCCGGATGGAGGGCTGTGGTTCATGCAGCAAACCCCTTTTGCTTGGTATCTTATCTCAGCAACATGTCGGAAAAGAATCTGGATTTGATCTCAGAAACATTTAACTCCGAAACGTTTAACTCCATTCAACGTCTGTGTTTTCAACGTTTTCTTGCATATGTTCCGTTCCGTTTCACCGCCATGCAGATTTAGGCTGAGCCCCTAGGATTGAAGGTCTTTTAGAAAGCAGAGTGCATGCTAAACGGTGCTCGCGACATAAGCCCTTTGCCCGCGACTATCCGGTCCTGAAATGTTTTATCAACGCCAGAATTTTATGACTCAAGCATAGCATTGCGTGATGCTCGTCACGACCCGTGTAACCCTTTGATGTCATCTCGCCTAAGGCGTGGCTGCATCATTGTATGACGTTTCTGATGCATCCACCCGTCATGACGCAAACTTCAATGCCGAAGTGACTTTGAAATGCTCTCCCCGATATATATTATCCCATGTTTGCGGGCGTTTAGCTCAGAAACTAGAGGAGCTTAGGTCTTAAGAAGGGCAGGATTGCGAACTGCACCGATAGGTCGTCATGAGTAACATTTCAGTTCAAAACCTCATTTAAATGTGGAATATTTCCTTTAAGTGTACACAATAGACGCTGACGCGTCAGTGCCTAGGTTTTGTCTAGTGCCAGTGAAAATGAATTAAGAATACACAATTTTCACAGGTTTTATGTCACTGATGGCTATTGCCAGCTTGTGGATGATTCCCACGACCCGTCAAAGGCGACGGTGTTCCGTGCTGTGCATCGGGTTTCACGCGTGATTGGTAATGCATTCTCCGGGGCCGTGCGATGGGCGGACGACATGGCTGCCGTGCAGCAAGGCTTTGACGGGTGTGCCGGGCTGTCAAATGTCAGTTAGTGTTGGTGTGAATTCTTACCTCATTTGGGACAGTGGTAAATTCAGTTTTGTTTAGTGCTCTGCAGGCTGCAAGGCAGACATGGAAAACCATTACCCAAAAAAATATTGCAAAATTTCAGAAGGTGGAAAACCGTACTTGATACAAGAGTACAGTGTGGGTAAAAGTGTAATTCCTGTGTTGCAGTGCTACATGTTAAAACATCCCGTACCATTGCTTCAAATATTTTTTTCACGTCCCGAAGCGTACCGTAACGTGAATGCGCCCAAGCTTTCTTTAGCCACACTCAACCAGACGTGGTAGCGTTGCGCACACCTCCCATTGCCCCAGAGATGTACGCTCACACCTGCTGAGATAGGTAGCACACAATGCATTCGGCGAACGGTGACGGACGGCTTTCAGGTTGCGTGGACGGAACGCACATCCCGATCCGAGCGCCGAAGTCACAAAAGGCCCTCTACGTGAACCGCAAAGGCCTCACGTCAATTAACTGCATGGCAGTTGCCGGACGTGACCGGAGCATCCGCGCGGCTGTGACGCATCGCACTGGTCGGGTCCACGACGCTCGAGTGCTGCGGACACCGGAGCATCCGCGCGGCTGTGGCGCATCGCACTTGTCGGGTCCACGACGCTCGAGTGCTGCGGACACCGGAGCATCCGCGCGGCTGTGACGCATCGCACTGGTCGGGTCCACGACGCTCGAGTGCTGCGGACACCGGAGCATCCGCGCGGCTGTGGCGCATCGCACTGGTCGGGTCCACGACGCTCGAGTGCTGCGGACATCGGGCCTCGTCGAAATGCTAGTTATACAATTGAATGACTAAAAGGCAAGAGCATTTCTCAAATGTAATATGCTTGCCCACTAGAGAACACGACATAAATGAAACAGCGTATGAAATATCAGGCAATGCCTTTGGCCACTAGACCAATGTTAACAGTAGCCCAGCTAACTGCTAGCAAACTGGCATAAATTGCCTCGTCCGGAACTTTAAGATATGTTTCAAAACGGTCATTTCAATAACGAAATTTCGCTGTTCAGCTTCAGATCACATCAAGGACCAGCGCGTCATGGGATCTTGCTCGGCGACAGCGCCTATCCACTGATGCCGTGGCTGATGACCACCCGTTTGCGGCACCTGCATCTCCAGAAGAGCAGGCGTAAGATGGTAGCAAGAACCCGATGCGTCTGTGTTTACAAAAACGCTTGCGTCCGCGACAAAACGCATTTGCTCACAGCGAGGGGTGGGACTCCAAAATCTAGGCAAACGATTACGTTAGTGCGGGACTCCTGATAATTTTCACAATATTAAAAAGACGAACGTCGGAGAAAACCATTTCGTTTCCAATGGGGTAAGTTCGGATCAAATGGGTTGGTCAAGGTCAAGTATGAATGACTGGGCGAGTCACATTACCTTGCTGTATCCTAGACGCCATTGAAAGTAATAATGGGCTGGCAGAGACCCTTGCAAATTTGATGTGATTCTGTTCCGAATTGGTGATGCGGATGGGGCATTCAGGAACAATTGTGCGTGCTTGTGTCTTGGATGTCAAATTACATTGATTGCATCAAGTTAAAGTTCCTTCTTTAGTTAAATATTCCTTAGCGTTCAATTCGTGGCGTAGGGCAATATAATGGCTGGCGAGCATGGCCATGTTTTCATGTGCATTTCTATTGGCAGGTACAACCAGGCACACTCGCGCACCAGGGTCGTTGTCGAAAACGCCTGCGGTGTGATGAAGCGTCGCTTCCCGGTGCTAAAGATGGGGTTATGTATGCGTGACCCAAAGAGGCCGCTCCGTGTCATACGGTAAGTTTGTCTGTGTCACTTTTGACTTTTCCGACACTTTCCCAGCCAGTCTGACGCTTTCCTAGCCTTGCCAGTGAACTGTGCCACTAGCATGCCAAAATGTACACATTGTTATCATTGTTCTTCATGCCACATTAGGGTGCTGCGACCCTGCTGTGCTTTCTTTCCAGTGCATGCATCATCCTGCACAACGTGTGCAAGATGGGAGATGATTTTGGGGGATGGCTCGGCGGTGAAGGCACGCAAGAGGCCGCGGTAGGCGGTGACGACCAGGTGGCGCCTTCGACGAGGGCGGTGCAGCGGAGCGGCGTGCTGGACAGGAGCGCCGGAATGCCGTCATCCAGTAATTCCGCTAGTTCCGTGTCCATGTCCATGTCTGCCGTTCAACCTTGTTTCTTTGATAATAAATCCATCAATGAACCGGTTCTAGTTTTATGTCACAGAAATGGCGAAGTGCGCCAAGTACAGCTCAGTTGTGTTTTGCATATATGTGGAAACGGATAACAGGAAAACGCACCTCAAGCAATCTGGGTGAATGGGCATCTCAACATCAGAATCAAATGCAACCACAAGGGCGATTTTCCGGTTTCTGGGCATAAGGCATTGACCAGATGCTCCCGAAGTCGGGCGGTCAGACAGATCTTGACCTTGGCCCGCTCTTCTGCCGTGCGCTCCTCGTCAGGTATGCTGAGTAGCCGCCGGCTCCTCTCGGCTAAAGCTTGCCGGTCGAGCTCGGGTGAGGCGGACACTGCGTGTCGAGAGGACGCCGACGGCGAGGAGCTGGCTGCCAACGTGTTAGCCTGAGCCAGCACAGGGGGCAGCGCCGGATCCAAGACAAGATCATGTGTACTGCTGTCTGTTGTACTCCCAGTATCCCACGACGACACGGTTCTGCCGCCTGCGACGTTGGTCATGGCCGCTTCGTCCTCTCGACCTGAAATACATTGATGACTCGAAAACAACGGCCATGCAGCAAAAACCAAAAATGACAGAGGTGAAGCACGGGAAAGAAATAGTGGCTCACAAATGGCTCCATTCGACACGTCATCCTACCCGCTGACAACAATGTATACAAACACACTTCTTGCTCGACGGGGATATTCCACATCACGAAATATTGAAGCAAGCATCAGGTATTAGGGAAAAGCACACCATTGGTATAATATAGGTATATATCTAAGTGAGAATGCTACTCTCTGTTAAGTACATCTATTCCTCAATGCATCATTGTTTGAAAGACAGTTCACTGTATGACAGTACGGGTATTTGTCACCAGTGCAGCCAGTAATACTAACCGATGACATCCAGTAAGACCTCATCCAGTTCATTTAACTGGACGTCGGCGCCGCCCCCTATGCTCGTCCGGCATCCTCTTGCCATCTTGTCTAGGGGAAAGATAGAAACGCGTTGCAAGGTCGGCATTTGGCTGCTAAACACTACGTAAGTGCTAAAGTGCCTGTACACATTGTTGAAAAGCCTGACGTTTCCATCAGTTTGACAAGTTAATTTGGCGTACAGAGTTACTTGGCCTACAGAGAAACCACGTTTATAATCGTCATAAAATCATTACGCAAGATCTAGGACAAATGTGATAGAGGAAGACGAATGATCTCTTGCGAACACACTTCTAAGTTGAAGTAAACACGTCAGAACTCAAATGCGTTGATGAGTAAGGCATACACATCAGACGGCAAAGCAGGTGTTACTTGCCTCTGGTTTTTTGCACAGCATTGTTTATACAGTTTTTTCTTAAGTTTTTGAATTGTTGCTGACGCCTTGCATAAGCCGATTGAAGTGGCGATCGCCAAAACTTCCGCCCACGCTGAACCGCGCCTCTATGCGCCACCAGCGCCCTTGAATTCACCGTACAGCTTCTGGAAAACGAAAGCTGTTTTGTTGAATGTCACTTATCGTTCCAGTCACTGAGTTTTAACATGGCATTGTCGATGACAGGTAGAGGAAATAAATTAGCGTTTGGTCAAAATTAGCGCTTGTACCGCCCCCCCCCCCCCCTCATCCACTCGCCTTTCGTACCCGAGTCGTGCCCCTGAGCAGGCGCATTAAGGATCAACAAACTTGGCAGTCACTCATTAGCATAACGGATTCCTATGCATTCAATACGGACCTTACATCATGTTCTGTATAGCAGCCCCCATGAATCACGCTGCATCACAAAGGGAATGGCGACTGACTTTCCCGATCCCTGGTCTGAGTGAATGCAATATGGTGGCCTTTGAACATCCCCGCAGCATGGGTGCTAGTGTTTCTTTCAGTCTGCCGACATCACTAACTTGTCATGTTCAAACATAAACCTAAATATGGAGGCAAGTATCAATACATCACATTTTATTGGGAGTCACTAGATTTAAAGAATACCAAAATGATGTTCTCTCTCATAGGTACAAACCTCGCACGCACACTCTCCATCACATCAAGATCAATACAACCCACTAGTGCGTACCACCACCGATCACGCCTATTTCAAGCGCCTGATTCACACTCTTATGGCAAATAAGTGTGATCCCACGCTTGTGACCCGCGGGGCTATCAAATAATTGCAGGTTTTCTTGCAATTTCCGCACAGACGTTCGGTTAAAACACCGCATTTCACCGTAATCTCCCTTCAAAACAAGGTCCCGACGGGGCTTCAGGTTAATGCAACTCAACAAGTTTATTTGTAGGACACATTTTTTGTTCCAGATTAAATTTATTTGGTCTACGGTGTGTATTGAATATTTAGTACAATATATATCTCCAAAATAAGTGTAGCATTTCCCTAATTTTATAATGTCTTGCCAACCCGTGAACCCATGCAATGTTCTTTGCTTCGGTGTACAAGGCGACAACTGAGGTGTCTGTAGAAGGGTGATTAGAAGAAGAGGAAAGTCGGTAGAAGAGAGAAAAAACCTAGCAGGAGAAAAAATGCAGATTTGCTGTCGCGTCTTCTTTTTTATAACATTCGGGAGAGTGCCGTGTGTTTTTTAGTGCTGTACTTTTTCTGCAGACTGTGGCGTTCTATTCGTGTAACCTTGACCTATGGTCTAGAAATGAGGAAAAATGTTCCGTTGGCGAGGAGTGTCGCACAATCCGAAAGTGCTCACGCTTGCGTTCAGGACAAGCATTCAGCAGCCAAATGTTACTAACAGCCAATCACCTTCGGGGGGGATTGTACCATATGTGCCGCATTACCTCTCTTGCGAATGTATCAGCGGCCATGCTGTTTTGACCTTAAGCAGAAAATAGTCTGTACTATAACGGCAATCACATGACGTTTCCATGACGACATCAGTACCAAGGTGACTTTGAAGAAGCGTCCCAATAAACCTTTCCGTACTTTTGCGGGCGTTTAAGTCAGAAACCAGAGGGCTTTGGATCTTAAAAATGGCATGACCGTGAACTGCATAAAAAGTCCTCAAGGTGGCTATTTGAGTTCAAAACTTCATATCAAGGTGGAACATTCCCTTTAGTATTTTCGTTTTTCACAGAAACCTAAAATTGTTTTTTATCATTATTTACTGCTCTCAAGCCAGTCGTTTCGGGTGCGCGTAAGTTATTTGCTTAATTATGCAAACATTTTCCTGACGTTGACCGATGTTTACGGTATCACCTAAAGAAGTTTTGGAGTGTTAAGACGTCTTAGACATCTTCGTATTTACGCAAGCTGTCAAGTGCATTTGTGAGGTACATTATTCCCATAGATAACACAGAATTAAGAGCCTAATCTCTCGGAAAAAGCAAGAATGGAGATATAGACGCGTTGAATTACCGGAAACATGCCTTTATTAAAACAATAGCAGAAGTGAACTCACTTCTGCTTTTGTTTCTGCCATTGTTATTCATATTGACTAAAAAAACGGGCATAAATCTGTTTGTGGGCAGCATTTGGCATCATTATGAGTCCCTCTGCGCCCACAGCCTGCCCGTAAATCGACCCGCATGTTGACTCTGAGCTCGTGACTTCACTGCTGTGTGAGGCCGCGGCACGGGAGCCCCTCCCCTCCTGGGCTGACCGGCCGACTATTGAGCGCGCAGACCAAGAGCGCGATGTTTGCCAGCCTTTCGTCCCCGAGGGGGAAGCTGCATTTCCGGCACGGCACGTCCCATCGCAAAGGTTGGCTGCATCCCGGCTTCGGGAGTCGCTGCAAAGGCGGAGCCCACTTGCCAATGGCCGGTGTAGTGCCTTTTTGCGGTATTGCGACTTGTATCATTCCGTCGCGGTCCCCCGGGAAGGCTCCTAGCCAAACAGCGATAGGCAGAGTGGAGCTTTGTAGCTTCTTTTTAACACATGAAATGAAATGAGATAAACTATTACGGAATGAAGCCAAGAAAAATGATATTAAAATCTTAGATAATAGATAACTAGCCCAGCTTCACCAGCAGTAGTAAACGCCCATGCAGTCACTGGTAACAAAGTTAGATTATCTTGATGGTCTTAATATGTAGGTATGGAACTGGCCATTCTTGCATAAATCATGTTTGAAAAGCCCTGCAAAGAATATGGAGAAGAGCTGAAATGAGTGAAATTTGAATGAGTTCAAGGTTCTCATAAGGTTTTCAAGTTTTTCCACTCACTCTTGGAAAATGCCCGTTAATGGTATTGCGCATTGTGCTGATGCACAAAACAGATGTCAGTTTAAATAAACTTGGGGATGTGTGGAGCTCGAAAAGCTTTTATAAACCACTTTGATAGTGCTGAGACGGGAAGCAAAGGCAACAGAACATATACAAATGCGGTACGCTGCCTGAAATCCAATTGTGTGTCCCGCATCGTACATTTCGTACAAAAAGGGTGATTCGTACACCAGATTAAGTTACCTTACCATTTTTCGAAAAGCGATCATGTACACCAGCCATGCCTCCACGTTCCAAATGCGGCAAACTAAGACCTGCACGAAGTTCCGTCTCGATGATCAGCAATGGCTATCTACCTTAAAAGAAACTTGCACATGAGGTTAAGATTCAAACAAGGTTACAACCCAGCCAATGTAAAAACAGCTTCCATATACATGCTTGGTAAAACATTCCCTTAAGGGCAGTCACATGCAGAAAAAGCTTCGAGAACAGTGTATGTGTTACTGACAAATGATGCATAACTTATGAAGAGATATGAATAAGCTCACTGCACTAGTGCAACCTCAATACCATAACCATTCTAGGAACAGGTGCGTTTAGCCAATAATTTGTCCTCTGATAATCACGTGCGGTTTTTTCCACTCACATTCAGTAGGTCCTGAAATTAGCCACGTGTTTCCTGACGGATAGGCCTTGCAGTAACTGGTCATAGCTAGGCATGACGATGAAAATATTCCCGTCTC